ATACACTTCTGCACAGCATCCTGGAGAATTAGCGCTTGGTGAGGAGGAGGAAGTCTAAGGCACCAGTTACAAGCCTTTAAAAAAAACCCAATAGCAAAAATGTAGCGTGTGGATTGTGCTGTAAGTATTTAAGAGTGGAAGAAGGATATATGCAGCTTACAAAATCATGTCTCAGGCTGTGGAGTAATTCTAATGTGGAATAGCTTATTATCTCTTCAGTTCAGTAAGTGTATAGTGACTTTGGTAATGGTGTCTTTTTAATTAAAAACTTCTAAGAAGCTCTTAGGTCTGAAGTTTGATAAATCCCTTTCAGTTCAGTGGAAGTGCTCCAAATGTATGTCAGTGAGAGAGAATTTGTTTTATCTAGGGGGTTATTGCCTGTAATGATCCTTGACCAGCAACCCATATAAAACCCTATTTTTTCCATAGATACAAGATAGTAGGAGCAGTTTCTCCAAGAATACGTCTCAAGCACAGTCTAAAGTTTCTGGATTGAGTGAATAATCAATCTATATGGTCAGTTTGATCCTTCACCTCTTAATGAAATGCCAGGTTTGAGAGTTTTAATTGAACATTGTTCTGTAAGGAAGCAGACCGGGGCTAACAGGTCACTGCATAAAAGCCAGTACAGAGAAATGTCTTGTGATACTGCCAACCAGGGTCCCAGTTCCATCATGAAGAGTCAGTCAGATTTTAGGTGTTAACCTCATCTTTCAAGGAAAAGAGGCTACTGATGTCTTTCAGCTTTATATTATATGGGCCACTGCATATTACCACCATCTCAGAAAGAGACATCAAGGGACTTTTCAGATTCTTTCTAGGAAGAAAAATAGGAAACTGATGGAAACTTGTGGGTTTTGACCACTGGTTAAATATAGTTTGTAAAAGAATCATCCCATTTTTCCCATGTGTCACAAGTCACTTGGTTAATTAATGTTTGTTTCCAATTGGATGAACTGTTTTCAGTCAAACTTTGATGAATGCTGGCACAAAACAAATTATTAAATAGAAAACTACAGTAAAACATTATTATGTTGTAAATCGAAAAGAAGGATGAGTGATGCCAGAGAGCAATTCACCATATACGAACATAACAATTTGTTATTGTTCTGCTTAGTTATAAACTTTCCCTTTTAGCCATGTGCATATAAATAATTTAAAAGCAAAGTGGTAAATCTATATGGTGATAAATAATCTCACAATAACAAAACATCAAATGAATATTCAAAATATAAATGAAATATTTTCTTGTAAGCATCTGTAGTTTGTTGGTAACTGTGTACTCCCAGTTTAAAGTCTCTGGATAGAAACTCTCTCTTCTCAAATCTGGGTCGATTGCATGTCCAGATCCTAGTGGTCAAGACCACATTCTGTTTGTTTATTTACATCTACAAATGTAGCAATTTATTGAGCCAAAGTCAAGTCTTCCACTACTGCAGTAAAAGCAGAATCAAGGGCACTAAGTCCACCTGGTTTATAAACAATACTACCTATGATGAAAAGGGTTCAGGTTAGCTAAATAGGGAGCAATTACTAGAAATTATATTTCCAGCCTGCTTATGTTCAGAGGGAGGAGAATTCTGAAGTTCTGTGTATCTGCTTCTACTGCCTGAAGTCTTAGAGCAGAATAACACTGAATCAGTATGAAAAAAAAGAGGCTTGTATTTGGTGCTCAGCAAGAAAAACTGCTTTCAAATAATGTTTTAAAAAGATGGTTTATTTAACTGCTGAGATTCTGTTAACAGACTCTGAACTCACATTTTGCTGTCAAATTAAGATGATGGAGAATGTAGGTTAAAAACAATGGCAATTTCTACAACAGGAAAAGACGAAAAATGTGGATGTTGCATTAATTCAGTTTCACATTGAGATTAAAACTAGTACGTAAAGGGAAAACTAGCATAGGAATGATTTTGGTAAGCAGGCACACAGCTACTGCATGGAGCTGTGACTGATACTGCTTTCCATTCAAAACAGGAGCGATCCTAACCTGGTGTTCTTCACAGCCCTTCTGTATGATGGTCGCAAGAGCACTTGAGCTACAAGAATCCGTTTCTCCAGGTTGAGTTCCTCAGTGTTTCCAGAGGGGTTTCACTCTTGCAAAAATGCAGCTTTCTTTCTGAGTAACTGGCAGCACCTCCTCAGACTCGAGTTCTGTTCATTGAAAGAACAGGTTGAGCCCTGGCAGGGAAAAATGGGTTTTCGGTACCCTCAGGTTTGAGCATAATAAATACCCAAGGCTGGATCTTCACGGCAGTGGTGGGCAGGTGTGGAACTGGCACAAATTCGGCACCTGTGAGCTGCGTGCAGCTGCCACGAGTGTCGGCTGCTGCCGAGCTGCCTTTGCCATCCCCGAGCACAGGGCACGGCGATAGCACATGGGGACCATCCTGGGCCGGCGTTCCTGCAGCTGGGCCATGTCCCAGAGGTGAGAAGAGCCATCTGACAGCTTGGAAATGGGGCTGTGCTGACTGGAAGTATGGGTCTGTTGTGCCAGTGACTGCAATTTGTGAATAAACTGCCTGTCTTCTGGTACCTCATAGCATGTCGGGCTCAGAGACAGGCAGAAAATGGGAGTTTACCTTCAGCCTTCCCGGTCAGCAAGCTGCTGTCTGTCTCTGGTGTAGGTAGATTTGTTGTTATGGTTTTATCCTTGCTAAAACTGCAGGATATAATGTATTTGTGAATTGCCTGTATATTTTTAAGGGAAGGGCAGGACCCGCTGGAGGAGGGAGGTCCCTCAGGCTGGGGAGCGGCTGTCACAGCCCTGCTCGCTGCCAGGCTGGCGCAGAGACTGGGAGGTCTGGCGGGGTTGGGGTGGGCACAGGCAGGGCTCCCGCTGCCCTCACCCTTCAGCACAGAAGGGGGATTGCTTACCCTGCCTGCCGGCCTCCGGGGCAGGACCCTCCTCACACTGCGGCTCCGCAGAGCTGGTTCCTGGGGCAGGGAGGGCACGTCCGAGCTGGTGAGCTCCTGCCTCAGAGCTGCCTCAGAGCAGGGAGAAGGTTTGGGGCTGGTGATGGTCTGTCCCATGTGCTGGCTGGGAACCTGAGCTTTAGCAGCTGTTGTGTGCTTTCCTGCATACACTTCTAGTGTCTTTTTGCAAAAATTTAACAACTTACTCCTTTAGTTACCCCAGTTAATTGTGTTTGTTAATGAATTTCAGCTTTAAAAAGCAAAATCCTGTGTTCATCTTAATACCTTGCTGTTGGTACATAGGCAGTCCTTAGCCATGTGTTCGTGCATGCAAGGATTCAATTAAAACCTCGATAACTAAATAATTTCCACACAGTCTAGGCATCTATGAGATAGCACTATGGGGACATTTCTTGAGTTCCTCAATTGCACACCACGTTACTATGAACTATTTTCTGATATTGGGTAATAATACTCAAGCTTTGCTGGTGAGGTATATATAGAGTTTGAGGCAGCCTGAACAGTGAGCCCAAGAGCAGCGGTTGACTCAGGAACTGTTCGAGGTATTTCCTTTGATCACAGTTGAGAGAGATCCACATCTCCTAGAGGCCAACACTAAAGTATTCGCATTAGGGTGCCTGAAGTGAGTTTCTTAAATAGAAATGGCCTGATTCCTTTTTCAGAGATACTGAACGTGTAAAATTTTTTTTTTTTAAAGTTTTCACGCTTTGCAGAGTGGCTCTGACAGTCACTTTTCTAGGTGGCTGTCAGTATTTTGGCCATTGATTACGGCTGTATGTAGGGTGTTCAGCACTGAGGAAGCCTCTGCCCGGGTGCCTCCGTACACTCCAGCTGCAGGGCAAAGCTCCGACTGGGCTCCTGTGGAAATGACCCACGGCCACATGAGACTTCAGTCACGGGTGTGCAGCCCCGTATTGTCACGTTACAGTCTTGGTGACAACTGCGCGCGCTAGTCCCTGACGCGGCTTTGGGAAGGTGTCACCCATCGGCACCTGGGACCCCAACGGCCGCTGCCGCGGGCCAGCGCGTGGGCTGAGCAGTGGCCCGGGATGGGCAGTGGCCTCGCGGGCTGCACCCGCGCAGCGGGGCTTCTCCATGGGAAGGGGCTGCTCCCGCCCGTGCCCGGCAGCAGAGCCGTGACCCGTTTCGGAGGTGGAGCAGCCCCAGGCCGTGCCTGCGTGTCCTCAGCCCCAAGGCTCAGCCCTCCCACACAAGGGAGAGGGCCTGGGCCATGGTGGCACACAGTGAATTCCTCTCTTTTTGGTGCAGGTAACTAGAAAATGAAAAAAACTGAACCAGTATCTAAGTGGCTATGAGGCAGGGACCGCCTTGCTAGCCGCATACGGACATGGATGCCACTTCTTGCCGCGAGCAAAGGCATCGGCGTCTGCCCCTGCGGCCGCAGGCGCCTGCTGGCCCTGCTGGCCCGGGCAGAACTGCCCCGGCAGCCCGATGGCGTGCCGCAGAGCTTCCCTCATAGAAGCGGGAGCAGTCTTGCCCTCTCTGGGTTTGGATGAAATGACTGTAACAGATGTGCTCCACATCTGACCTCTGTTTTTCTATAGCTCCTGTGCACATTTTTAATTTAAAATTCTGCTCTTTCCTATAAAAGGTAAAGAAGATGTCAAGGTCTCGCTGTTCCCATTCCAAATGAAATGGGTTCACGTCCTGTTAATCAAGGAGTACAGCTGCAGCATTTGTCATTTCCCTTTAAAGTAATGGGTGGTTGATACCTGTCATTTCTCAAGAAACTATATACCAGATTAAGGTGTATTTATAGAAATCTCAATTGCTGGTAACTTGGCTGAAGCCAAGTTTAGGCATACCATTAGTAATGCATAATGAAATGACCTAAGCGGAGTTAGATTTGGGAGGGGGAAGAGCAAGCTATTTGAGTTGGATAGCTTGAGGATGCTGTTTTACTATTAAAATTAAGCTTCTGACCCCTGGCTCTGAAGTGATAAAAATAAATCTTCCTATATTTCTCTTCTGCATTTAATCTTCTATATTGGAAAAGATAAAGAATAAAATCTCCTTCTCTTCTTTGTCTCTTTCTTTTCTAGGTACAGGACCTATTTATGCTACAGACCCACTCCTATATATGTACCTGTTCATACTGCACAAGCTTGTACATTTATTAGTAAACCACTGATGGACTACTTCCTCCATTCCTCCTCAGCCAAACAAAAAGGAACCTATTTAAAAACAGAACAACAAATCCCTGACAAAAAAAAAAAAAAAAAAAAAAAAGTACGTACAGTTTTAAAGATGGACAGAAAGAGACTGAAAGAAGCATGATATATATTCTACGTGAGGGGAAAAACATATTTTTGGGGATGACACAGAAAGTAAACCACATAGAATAATGCATCTAGTTTCCAGACTCTATGGTGTAAAGCCCTGCTCTGTGCATGGCACTTATGATTTCTCTATTTTAATGTAATATTTTTTCTTTCCTAAACCTTTCCTCTGACTCTTCATTTTGCACGAACTGTTGAGCAGTTATCTTTATGACAATATGTAAAGATGTTGGGTCAAAGCCCTTCCTAAGAAAGGAAATATTTTTAGTAGATTATTGTGTTTAGATTTTTTGGATTTCCTTTTTCTTTTTTAATTAAATTATTTCTTTTGGAAACATTTTAATTAAAAAGGTACATCTTACCATAATTAATATTCACTGTCAATAATATTTATTTTTAAATGAAGATTGGAAACAAGGTAAGACATTTGTTTATAAACTGTATTGTATATTGCTGAATAACAGTTGAATAAAAAGATTTTGAAATAAAGTTTTTAGAGATGTGTGTGCGCCTTTCCCTGTGTCCTGAAGCTCCCTGAGAAGGCTTCATGGCTGTGCCTGTTTCCTACCTTGTCACAGCACAGAGATTTGAGGAAAGGTGTACCACAAACAAAATAAAATTGAAATTGGTTATTATACACCCTCATATATTTGCAAACCCCAGGGCAGAATGTGCCGACAGCTAGTCACAAGCTCTAGCTGCATTTTCCCGTGGTGACACCAGCTATCTCTGGGCAGTTAATGCAAGACCCAGCCAGATGGACAGTGTGACTGTGGAGCATTCAAGGTAAGTTGCTTTGGTTTTCTTCAGGCCTCTGAAAAAAGACGAATCAACTAGTGGAAGATAATCAACTTAGAATGTTGTGTTCCCCAGACCTGGTTCCAATATTTGGTTAAAATATATTCAGATTTTTAAAATTACATAATTGTGTCATTTGTCTTACCAAGTGAGCGTTCCTCTAATGAAGCAGAAGGCTTTTTTCCAGTAAATACAGCAGTTAGTTTTCAGTTTCAAAATATTTGGTTTTTAAGTGAGATAAGAGGATGACTTGGTAAAGAAACATAACCTTCTTTAGCTGAATTGAGTGAAGTACTTTGAAATTTCCTATGTCTGACTCTGATTTGTTATCCTTTCATTTGCGTAGCATTTTAGAAAGGACCTTAATTGTGGAAACGATAAAGCAACAGCTACAGCACCAGCAGGACTCTGTCGGCAGAAGCTGTGGAGCAAAAGCAGGACATGACATCGCCTCGCCTCACCTCGTACCCGAGTCCTCTTCTAGGAGGGTAGGAAGGGATTTTCAATTTCTCTGATGGTCAGAATTTGCTTTTTTCTAGGACTGCCAGTTGTTGTGAGGGATTTGTGCCACTCACATCTCACTAAGTGTGAGACCAAACTGACTCTGTGTTTCATACATGCTACTACATTGTGGCGGTAAAAGCCCTCTTGTGCTGGGGCACTCACCACAGGGATCCAAAGGTGATAAAATCTTTGTAAAAAAATCTTCGTTCATCCACTTCATGCCAGCTGCAGTATCCTGTGGATTGGGGAATAATCCATAATCATCCCCCAAAAAGCAGCACTGTTCTTTGGAAGGACTTGGGGGAGGTGTTTATTGGAAGCCTGGAAGTGCATCAGGGCGTGAGACTCTGAGGATCACGGTCCTCGGCTTCCATGTAACTTGAAAGGAAGAGACAGGTGGCCAAAAAAATTTTAATGTTGGACCATGCCGAATTTAATACCAGCATTCATGTCTGGGAACTTGTTCAAGGACAGTTGTTCAATGCAGAGGTATGTGTAGAGTCTGTAATGTCACGAGAACGCGAGTCCCTCAGATAGTGGCTGGTCATGAAAGTGAAACCTGCCTGGGTGTGAACTGTGGGTCCTCTGGCGAGCTCATCATCACTGCTGCTTTTTCTCAAGGGCAGTGAATGTTTCTCAGTGACTTGTCTTTCTTCTAAGGGAGAGAACCAAACCAAAGTTTTCCACAAGGGGAAGAAAAGCTGCTTAACTTTAGCTAAATAAATAGCAGGCGCTTGAAGCAGTGGAGCATGTCTATCTAGGAATAGTTATGCTTCTATTTCAGCTTCAGTCATACCTCAGCATGGTCTCTTAATAAAACAGATCATCTGCTTTGCTCTGAAACTTTTGTTTCATCGCTTACGGAGCATGTTATGTCTTGAATTGCATACTCTGTGGTTTGCAGAAAACATGGGAGAAATTACATCATCTTGCATTTGTCCTTCCCTTTGTACTGTAGTCTTTTACCTGCACAGGGATGTGGCAGCAACTGGCAGTTTTGCGTGCAGTGGCAGGAGTAGAATTATCAAGGTCTTTCATACTTCAATCACATTAAAGGTGAAAAAATATTAAATCCGCAACTAAAAATAACTTTTTTTTATCCTTTCTGAGATCAGAATTAAGTGTGCCACAGTAGGAATAGCAATTATTATATTCCAGTTCACTATAAAACCTCAGAACTACTAAACAATAACCTGAGGATTTGATGAAAAATCTCTTCTAACAAGAGCAAGAGGGATCTTTTCTTTCCAGTGAAGACCTGCACACATGCAGAGATAACTCATTCCCAACACACAGGATAACCTCAACCAGGAAGCAGATTGCCAAGATAACCTGGATCTACCTTTACTTTTGCTATGTTTCTGCCTTCATAAATGTGCAGAATGAGTCCAGCAGGTTTGGGGGCCTTAGTTTTCCATATTTGCGCCAGCTTTTTTGTGAAATACACATCCTACGTTTGGCCCCAGTTTTGCATAGTGCAGGGGAAATAACTGGCTAAAGAGGAGGCTGCAGCTTTCAGTACAGTATTTAGTCTTTAAAAAGCACTTAAAGGAATGAGAACCATTTTGATGGAAAAATGTAAAGCATTTGGAGCCTTGTTGCTTGTGAGTGTGTTAAGGACTTTTGCTAAAACATCGCTCCTTTGAGAGTGCTCTTTCTTCTGAAAAGGGCAACTGCCTCACTTCTGCTGATTGTATTTACAAAGGGCAAAGTGAGGTTTTGCTGTACCCTTAATGGACAGAGGCTAGTGGCAAATCTTGCTCTTTCATAAATCTCGGCATTCCTCGTGGTGTCTGCTGTCAGAATCGATTAGGAGTAAGTGCTTGGGCTGCCGGGCCGTGGGAAGGCGGCCGTGCCTCCTGCGGTGCCACACAGAGCTGGGCGGAAAGTCCCAGCGCGGGCGGCCGGGTGGGTGCTGGGGGGGGACAGCACGGGCACCCGCTCCTCCTCACAAAGGAGCAGTCGAGCTGGGAAGCATGAGTGATGGCTGTTAGGGGCCAGAGCTGAATCATCTATAATATAATCATAAGGAAACACACATTTTTTCCTGAGAAAAAATCAATAGAACTTTGCACTTTTCCTTGTAATATTTCCAGTCTGTGCCATCAGCCATAGTTTGCTCACAGTTATACTGCTATAAATTCACTGTGAGTTAATGGATTTCTACAAAAATGAATGGATTTACAACAGTGTAACAAAGCTGATGCTAAAGCCATGTGCATGTAAAAATACATGGAACAAAAGTAGCTTTATAGCACACAGGTGACCTTCAAGGTGGCAAGACCCAGCAAGTAAAAAGCAAAATTACCTAGTTCCTGGTCTCCTTTTCTGGCAAAACTCCCAATGAAAATAAAGCGTGCAGTCCTGAAAACATCGCGGTGCATGGCAAGAGGGCCAGAGACCCACCGAAGGGAAGACGGGGAAGCGAGCAGCTTTGTGCTGTGATGGAGAATGCAAAAGACTGTCTGAACGTGTCATTTTTCATTTCCTGCATAAAACATGTGGAGCCTAGTCTCACTTAGAATTTGTAAGTAAGTAAATAATGTGCTCCCAAACTTCTGTGTCAAAACTAGGTTGGTTAATGTATGTGCTGCCTCTGTTGCATTTGTTACTGCACAGTAAATTTCATGCTTAGCCAGAGGCTGGCAAAGTTCATTTATTCATTATCCTCAAACTTTGGGCAGTTATTATTCAAACTCCCCTAGTACATCTATTTAATAAGAAGAGAACAGAAAATTGATGGGATCAAAAATGTTAAAGTCTTAATTAATGCTTTTAGCAAAGACTGGTTGGAGTAGGGGGGGTTGTTGAGAGGCTTAATTTGGAGCAAGGGAGTGTGCTGCCTGGTTTTGCTGGGAGCAGGGAGGGCTCACCCAGCCCTGCCGAGGGGGCTCAGCCCCCACAGCCCGGTGAGCTGGTGGGGACACCCCGGGGGCTCCCTGCCACCTCGTGAAGGACAAGCGCTACCAAGGTAATACCAACCTACCCAAAGTATTGCTGATTAATAGAGTGTTTAGATGGTAAAACAGTCGCTTATAGAAAAGATGGGGGATTTTTTTCCTCCTTCACCGTTTTTGGGGGTTTTGTGTCCCCTGGCAGCCTTGTAGCACCGTGGCTCACTGCGCTGCGCTGCAGGGGGCTGCCGGGAACAGGGGGGCTTCGCACTCCGGCGAGATGCCCTGAAACAGAGCCCAGGGCTGTGTGGGACAGGTTTGGGTTTTGCTCACACAGGAGCAGTTACAGTTATTCCACAGGAAAATTAACAGACCCTGAAACAAAGGGAACGAGATAAAGGCTGGAAGAATCCCCGAGAGGCAGGAGGACGGCTGCGAGGGATTCCTGCCCCAGCCCGTCCTGCCCCAGAGCAGCAGCAGCAGCAAAGCCCTGTGGTTTGACAGGGGGTGGGGAAGGGAAGGCTTTTTTCTTGTTGTTTTAGATCATGTTTCTAAAGCCCAGCAATCACTGCTGAGTAAAGATGAATATTATTATAAATGGAGCCAGCAGGTGAAAATATATGGTTCAGATCTGCATCAGTGACAATCCAAAACATAGCAGTGAACAAGATGGCTTCTTTTAAGGATCCATGCTAATGTCACTGCATGGAATGAAATCTCCTGTTTTTCCTCTGGTGACTGCCAGCCCTTTAATTCTAGCTGTTATAGACATTCCAAGCAACTCATAGCTATATTAAGAGTTAAACTGAAGAGGACTGCACTGTCGAGTCCCTAGTTGTTGCTTATGGATTTGGTTTCCTGTTATTGTTAAAATGTTTCTTAAATCTCATATGGAAAATCATCTGTAGTTTAATACAAATTAAATGACCAGGATCTTGATAAATAACTCAAAAATGCTTACAGTGAGGATTATACTTTTCTAGTAGGACATTTGGGGGATTTGCTCTGGGGAAGATGGGGAAGGGAGTGTTAAGCTATTTTTTTTTCCATTTCATGACCACATTGGTCTGAAACCTAATTCATCTTTGTGTTAATACCCTTGAAATAGGAAGCAACAGGTTAGACTTTGGGAGCATTATGCAGGATGAGAAGGCAGATGACCATATGAAATGGGCTCTTAGTTTTTGATTTTTTTCTTGTAATTCTCCTTGAAAATCTGAAGTCCTTGATTTTTTTTTACCAAAGTAGAATGGGAATTCTTCATTACTAAATATTTTTCAGGCTTGTAAGTTGCTCTGACAATCCAGTGAATATCATGACTCAGTTTGGCTTTCAGGGTGATCTACATAGTATCTAAGCAGGAATGGATATTTAGGCTGTCAAAGTCAGCTTTTTGGCAAAAATTAGTAGGATACTTATGATTTCCAAGTGCTGTGTTTTTTATAATACTTTTTAATTTCAAATTTTTTAAAGAGTACTTCTCTATTCATAATCTATGGCAAACATGAGATTTAGCTCTAAATTCCCATGGCAGAGCCTCTTTTTAATCTATATGCTGTAATTTACTTACTGTTCTGGACACTTGTATTTCAGTGTTGTCAGAGTTGATCCAAGTGACTGATACCTGTCAGTGCATCATTAATCAACTGTCTTTGCAGTTTTAAAAATATGTCATCAGCCCCAGAGGGAGAGCTTCTGCATGGTAGGATGGGTGTGAGGAAGGTCGGTGTCAGGACTTTGACACCCCCCTCTTGGTTTGCCTCATCCTTCCCTCCCAAGAAGAGCACCATGGTGCATTGCTGTGACCTGGATAGGAGCAGCTTGGCCAGACTGATCACTAAATTACTGCTCAGGACACATGCCCTCCTGTGGCATCAGGCAGCCCTGGGCTGGGGGACAGTCTGTGCTCCCAGACACGCACTCGGAGAATCAGACTTCTGGGGCCTCGGGAACGTCACCAGTGTGGTGGAGAGGACTCTGTTTTTTCTTTCCCTGCTTTCTGGGATCCCCTTCAAAAGCAGAACAGCAGGGGCTGGGCTTCCAGGCTCCCAGAGTCCTGGACAGTGCAGCTCAGGATGCCTCCTGCCCAGCATCCCAGCACACGGCCCATCCTCCTGTGCTCTGCTCCAGCAGGACAGCCGCTGCTCCGCCAGCTTTGAGCCAGCAAGGACAGCGGGACCACAAGGAAAAGCCACCCCTCGGTTCCTGAAGGGATCCCCAAGTGCCTCAGGATTTAAAAGCCTGCTTCCCCTAGTTAAACTAATCCTGTGTCTCTGACAAGAATTAGGATGCTGTTGAAATACCCCACATTGTTGCACTGAACATACATTGCTCTGAGCTCAGGAAAGCGGGAAGGACCTAGTCAGCGTGCCTTGCCACGACACAGCCAGGCAGCACCTGAGCTTGGGAACATGGATAAAGTCTTTGGACAAAGGCATGGTGTGCACCTCTAAATCTGAGTCAGGCCAAGGGGTAACTGTACTGAGTAATGGTCTAGACCAAACAAACTCTGTCAGTGATACCTGTTATCCCAAGGGGAATGCAGCACTTGAGAAAGTGCACTTGAGAAGCTAAAAGCAACAAAATCAAACGAGATGATGAAAATGTAGTTTGATTAAGGAAACATCAGTTACTTCATGATCTTTACCAAATACACTCACATTTAGTAATTCATTTATGCAAATTTATCGCAAGACAGTAAAAATATAATTGTTCAGTGCTACAAATACTTATAATAGTGTAATCCATTTATAGAGTGTGTGGATATAATTTCAATTTTTACAGTATAGTGGTATGAAAGCCACAAATCAGTTGAATGCACAGCAAGCTGCTAATTGCAATCCTGGTTAAAATGAACCTTGGTTTATGGGTAAGTCACTGGTTGAGCTAATGACTTTGTATCCAAGCTAGCTGAGTCCCACTGAAATCAGCAGCCAGACTCCTTATATAGTGAAATCTTTCAATAATTAATAACACTGGGACTTTGTTCTCCAGAGAAGTAAGCAGCGTTTGATGACACAGGAAGACCAAATCTGGGTACGTACCAGTGCGTTGATCCTGTTGTGGGCTCATTGATGTGGCCACCTTAGAGTTTTTCGGCAGGTAGGGAGAAACGGAAGGCAGCTTGTCTCACTGCTGCTAGAACTGGAGGAGCTCAGACCCAAGCAAACAGTAGTTAGCAACACACCAGGCACCTGTCAAAATCTGAACTGTAACATGATTTCATATCAAGACTGAGTAAATGGAAGTAAATCCAGCTTGCCAGTGTCAAATGTGAGAAGTTAAACTTTTTTGCAGTATTTTTCAAGAACATAAAATCTCTTTATTAACCAACCCAAGAGTTCATTATTTTAAGACCAGAGAGGTCTTACTCTACTTACCCTAGACAAAAGCATTTCACTAAAGCAAACAATCTCAAAAGCAAATTCATGGAGCTTTGCTGGCTTCAGAAAGCGTTTGCCAACCTGGTCATAAACGTGCATGGAAAAATCAACCAAGTTTCAGCTCATTTCCTGGGGTAGTTAAGCCCTTGCCCTTGCAGGTTTTTGGAGCAGAGCAGCACCAGAGAAAGCACTGCTCATGTTGAGGGCCATGAAAATGCCATGTGTTCACACAGCACATTTCCCTTCATTCAGTGCTCATCTGTTGCTGCTGGCATTTACAAGGCTTGGGAAAAACATCCATCCATTTGTTGTTTAGAGCTGGGAGTGCGATTGCAAAACGGTGCGGGAAGAGGGGAGGCGGCATGGGAAGCCACAGGGGCCATTTACCTGGGGACACTGCAAAACTCACCTGCTGTGGGGGTCTCGGGAGCAGGAGGCAGATGCGCTGCACAGCCTGCGCCAGGAACGTGCTCAGTTGGTTCTGCAGTCATGCTGAAGCCATTTATTTTTATTTGAGCAGCATTTAACATTCCCAAAACAGCCAGATGGAGCTCAAGGCGACAGGTGAATAAGCAGGAGCAGCATGATTTTCCATGGCTCAAAGTTTCACTCTAAACAAGCTTTTCAGTGGAGAAAAAAAGGGGGTAGGGAGTGGAAGGTGTGCGTATATTTTTCTTCTTGAAAATGCTGAACAGATTAACAAAATAAGGTGGTTTCCCAAATAAACTCACTGATAATGATTTCCGTCATGCATCCCTAGCTAATTGGGGTGCGATGAAGTGCATAATTCAAATGCTATCTAGCTTGAGGGCTTAAAAAGAAGCTTAACACTGCCTGGCAAAGCAGAGTGGAGATAGCTGATGTGACATCTGCCTATCAGTAGGCTGCAGGCTTTCAAACGAGCAGGCAACAAAGGTGCAAGATCTGATTGCAGCTTAAATTTTGCCCACAGTCGTGCCTGCCTGGTTCAGCGTGGTTATTCAGTGGCCAATAAGGCATTAAATAGCCACAATGTACAGCGTATTTCAGGGGAAAATATTTTAGCAGCACAGGTGACTATCATGCATGCATTAAGAAAACCAAGACACAGCATACCAAATTTAGTTTAGTTACAGTAAAATAATTGTAATAGAGCAGTGCTGACCCCAACTACTGAATGGTGACACCTGGCTTTTGCTGCACAGGAGAGATTAGGTTTTCCTGGCTTGTTTTCCTCCCTCGCTCTTTATATATATTTCATGTATGTAGCATATATTTAGTATTCAGATGTTTGAGACAAACCCCTAACATTTTAGAGAAGAGCCCTTCAAGCCTGGCAGCACAAACCATGGTCTCACGAAATTAGAAATTGCAAGCAGAAAATAGCCCCTGCTGTGCAACACCTCCACTTTGTTATATTGCAATGTATTTTCATATATATATTTTTCACGTGCCTGATTTGTGTGACCCTGACAGTATGTAAAAATGGCAGTCGACAGTTTCTTTGGGTTTGTTTTATTATAATGTAATTTGTGAGATGCTGAAAGTCTGCAAGTTACTTGTACTTGACTGACATTTCTCTGTGTCAAAAAATTGCTAGGTATACTTGACTGAGATTAAAATGGGTAGACTGTGTATAGCTGTATCCTGTTTTCAAAGTGCAGGATTGGAAGACTTCCATTAAATTGTTATTTTCAGTTACTATTAGCTCCTAAATCAGTTAATATAATCTCTTTCCCATAATGAATGCACAGCATTGTAAACTTAAACACTGTATTTTCTATTGATCTATTTCCACAACCTGTTTAGTGAAATAATTAAAATTATTTACAAGGCTGACCCAATACTGTAGTGCTTTAGTAAATCATGTTGCCATGTGGGAGGCTCAGCTAGTTCTAAACTCACAGCTCTCAGCAGCACAAGGACCTCGGAGCAGAGCTGCAGCGAGCGCCGTGCTGCGTCTGAAGGTGCGCTCACAGCCCGCCCGTGGAAATGCCGCCTCCGACGCTCGGGGACAACAAGGGCTCCGACTGGTTTGTTCGTTCATCGCCTCTGCTTAAAACAGGAAAATTTCTTGGTGCTACCAAGCCAGATGAGAACTGGAGCTGCCAGCTGCAGATAAAGAATCTCCATTGGCAACTCGAATATCCCTGTTTCTTACCCCCAGAACTGACTCCACGTGTCCACGTGGGCAGCACAAAATGGGGGCAACTGTGGAGCCTGGTATTTTTGGATGCAAGACAATGTGGGAAATTATTATTTCTATCTATTTTGGTTGTTTTAACTTGCAAGACAACGACAACTATAAACACAATCTCTAAATGCCAGAGTTACGGAAAGGCTCACTAGGATTCAGTAATGTTAAGACAAAGATACACTGAGGCATGCCCCAAAGTGTCTTAACCTCTGGAAGTCCCTCTGGCAGTCTCAGAGGGCCATAAGTAATTCCTCAGGCGACAGGGAGGGCTTCATGAAGATGATCTCCCTGGCACAGAAGCCCCTCCTGTGAGGATATGGGCTCTCGTACATCCTCCATGTCTCCCACAGCTCTGACAGGCAAACACGCAGGGCTGTTAGAGGTAGGACTGACCAAACATTCCCTGTTGTCTTTCTAGCTCCCCTCCCAGTGTTACAGTAACACTACCAGGGAGCTCTCAGGGCAGAAGGACACTACAGCAGTGCCTGGGAGGGGGACCCAGCAGCCAGTCTCTGTAGCAAGATTGGTGAGAGCAAACTAAAGAACTATTCAAACTAAAGAACTATTATGAAAAGCTCGTAACAACTCTCTTTCTCATGAAAAATGTGCGTTTTGACAGCTGCAGTCTGGAACAAAAGGGACCGAGGTGACTGCTGTGGGGTCGGGGCAATGGCTGCAAAGCGAGGAATGTGCAGCCGGGGCCAAGCCTCGTGGGGATCACACCCCCCGCCGGGTCCTGCCCCGGCCAGCCTCGCAGGGAGGACATCCCCTGGGGACACATGTGCTGGCAGGAAGGTCACAGACCTCCCATCCTGGTCCATGACAGGAAGGACAGAGCCCATAGCTCTGAAATCAGTACGCGTTTGAGACACCATTTATAATGTCTCCACACTTGCAATCCCTAAGCAATTTCAGCAGCTAGTACATTTTACGTTAGTTCTATTCTTTTGCATAATTATACAAAGGAAAAAAAAATGTCCTATAAAAACTTAAAATTTTGAATACAGTTGTTGGATGCACTTTGCAGCAGATATCACTATCTTTCTTCCCTGACCCCAACCCTGCCACCATTTCTATTTTGCTTTAAATGGACCTGTAATTTCACAATGGGAATTCAGCTGGAACTATTCTTTTTGTTAAATAAACTTTACCCTTGTGCTGACTGCTCCAGGCTCTGAAAAGAAACACTTCTTGCTTGTGACTGTTCCAAATTGTAGGTCTGAAATTCAAAAAGAAGTGTTGGTAAATGGGCTGTAATCACGCTGAAGGGCAAGTGAGTACTCCTCCTTTGAGGCAGAAGAAAATAAAGGAAAATCTGCTTTGCCTTCTGCTGCCTCAATGCTGATAATTTCACAAATCAGAGGGGTTTTTTTTAGAAAGAAGCCTGCTGTGCTGCAGCGTGTGTGTTTCATAGCTGAAATACCTGTAGCCATGCCCGTAACGCCACACTTGGAAGTGTAAATCAGGGCCTGGTTTCTCCAAGCACCGTGCAGCAAGCAGAGCCCCGCGCTGCCGGCAGCGGAGGGCCTGGCACACCCCACCAGCGAGCCCCGGCCTCACCACGGGCCAGAGCACACAAGGGTAATGGCACAGCCAGCCTCTAACACAGGCATCTGCGCATGGGAGAGCTGCAGGGGTGCTATGTGAGAACTTGATGGCTGTGACAAATATCATTGAAACTAGGGTCAAAAAATGACCTCGGCAAGGGACTGTCATGCACAAACACACACTGCCCTTGTGCACAGCGGGGTCACGGCCCCCTCACTGCCTCCCACATCAGGTGAACATCTCCCCCACCCCGCTGTCCGTCTGGCTGCAGAACTGGTTCTCTCCCAGGACAGGACAACCCCAGACCAGAAGGAGCTGGGCAGCTGTCTGTGGGAAGAGCCACACCACTGGAGCCCAGGCAGCACATGCAGTCCTGCTAGTGACTGCCAGCGCACTTCACACAAGTCAGTCCTTCCCTGCACCTCCTCTGTCCACTGAACAAAGCACCCTTGAGTTTACTGGAGTCGCAAATAACTGCTGTTCTTCCTGTAGGTGTGATCTGACACTGCAGCATGCCTAATCTCACACTCATGGAACTCTTAGAAAGCCTTTTAAACAACCCCAACACAGAGCGACTCAAGCTCAAACTATTCGCTAACTGGGGCCCTGTACTGCCCGAGCTGTGGCAAAGCAAAGGATCCCCCGGCAGCTGTCTGCAGACAAGGTTTGGGTCAGTTGTAAGCCCGTGATTACTTAATTCTGTTTCAAGGCTCTGCTTAAACATTTTCCCTCCTCCGTTCTCACCCACTGTTCTGTTTTTAAAAAGAATAAAGTGCTTAATAATCTCTACCACCTGAAATAATCCCTGGCAGGATGAAAGCTCTCCCCCTCCCACCCCCACCATTTTGTCCCACGGCAAAATAGATAAATTAATCTCATGCTAAAATTAACATATATTGCTGAGGCAAATGAATTGGCATCTCCATGTGTATCTATTAGCTTCCAACATTCCTGAGAGGGGTTTTCATTTAATTACCAGCCTGACAGGCTAGCTCACTCCAGAACTGCAGTCACCTTTATTACTTTTATCTCCTTGGACACCTGCCTCTCTCCATGGTTTATCAGATTTCTACTGACGAAATGGACAAAATATTTTCTATTGCACCAGGTTATTGTTTCTTTAAAAGGCACTTACTAGAGCACTGACCTCAAACAGGGCTTTTTTATTTTCAATTATCAAAGCAAGCCAGCAGCATTAACCCCCTCACTGCCCCACCACACACCAGCAGTTCAGCAGAAACCAGATTACAGTCAGAGAGCCGAAAGCCTCATGGCGAGCTCCATGCAAGCAGCTGACCACCCTGACTACTGCTCATAAAGACCTTGCCCGCAGATGCTGTGACTGCTTTTCATCCTCCCACATAACGCAAACTCCAAGTGGGAATGCTGTGAGACTCCTGAACACACAGCTCAGTGCCCTCCATTGCAGTCCAGTGAGAGGGATCTGCCTGAATTCCTCTTGATGTTTTGGGCCACACTTTATATTGTCACCTGTGCCTCTATAACCGGTTCATGAAAAACTGATGTAGATACAAGGAACTTTTTTTTTTTAAAAAAAAAGCTGCCTACATGCATTACCAGCATAGTCACAGCCAGTGTTGTGGGTGATACATCACCTGTGTGACCACACACCCCTCCATAACAGCCGAATAAAGCAGCTGTTGTCTCTTACTGCCTCAAGCAGCAGCTCAAGGACACTGCCAGTTCAGGTGCTGACCACAGCAAAAGGACCAACACAGGGCTCATTCAGCCCAGTTTTCAACAGTTTCCACTTGCCTTGACCTGGGTTGCACTACCTGAGTTCGTGGAGACACACGTGTCCCATGGGCAGGACTCACTTGAGCTGGCATGCTGTGACAGACATGTTCAAACCAGTGGTGCCTCAGCAGATGAGGCCTTCACGTGCATGGACGCCGCAGTGCATCTCTGGAGGTGCAGAAGCTGACTCATTTTATTAAAAAGAATGGTTCACTCCTGACAACCTAATTCTGTTACTTTGAAAGAGTCTGGCAGGAAGAGGGCCTTGCTGATAGCAATGCCTTTGAGAAAAACATCTCCTTACAAAGGAAAAATGAGAACTTTGTATCTGTTTAATTAATGAACCTTTTCAACTTTCTTGGGATTTCTTCCCAGTTGCTAACTCCAGGCACGCTGGCTGTTTGGCATGAGGCACCTGCTGGCACTGAGCTGTGCTGCAGACACTGCCTGGCACGGCGGGAGCCTCCTGCTCCTTCACAGGTCAGAGCAGCCCCTGCGGTCCCGGCCAGATCCCCCAACCTGGAGGCTGCCCCCTCCAAGCACTCTGACCCCGGCAGTTAGCACTTAAGCACTTTCTGGGAAATGCAGAAAAAGATCCTTTAGCGAAACATAAATTACTTTAACATGGGCCTTGTGCAAAAAGTGCCTTTTCCTACCTGTCACCTCAGTCCTAGTAAAAACTGCTTCGTCTCAGTGCAGAGCCCTGAGGCTGAGTTACACACAGCACATGTAAAGCTCCTGTTTATGTTCAGGAGCTCACTCTGTGTGGGTGGCCTGGCAGTGCCAGGAGGTTTGGAGGTGACAGGAGGAAGCACCCTGGCTGACAGGGATGCACAAATACTGCAGCAGGCACTGTACGGCAGCTCTTCAAGGTACCATTTCTCTACCGCACTCCATCACAAACAGCCACATGCAGTACACAGTAACATGTCTTTGGCCAAAACTTACTTCCCATGGGTGAAGTGCCAAGTCAAGACAACAAAACCATGGCACAGAAGCTTGCAAAATTTGACAACCCTTTTCTAGAAAAAAGTCTAAACACTTTGTGAGGGAAATGCAACCTAACTGATTATTGAGCCTAAAACTTATTTATTTGTATTATTTTTAAATTTTAATTATGTTAATTTTATGTAGTTTAACCAAAACCAAATGAAATAAGTTAAACTATTCGATCTGCTGTAACTCCAGTGACTATTATTACAATTTATCATTTTTAACACTCATTTTGCATCATACATCCCTATCACATATGAGCCAATGTTAATTATGTTTTAAAATAAAATATTCAACAAGATCTAAATGAGACTCAAAGCACAGCAGAAGTAATGACTAAGACAGACTGTCATGGAATAATACATGAATGCAGAATGCTGGTATTAATTAGTAAATACAAGCTGTTCAGGAGCAGCAGTGGTGTCTGTCATCCTGATGTGTGTTTGGATCATAGGTGATTCTCAGCACACAGGGAAACCAAACATCAGCTGCCAAAGCCTCAGCTTACTGACTCCTCATTACTGTTCTGGGGACCAAGTGTTGATTTTTTAGCATTGCTCTATGAGGCAAGGCTGGGTAGTTCTAGTTTGTAGTAGTTATTCTCCAGGTATTCTAAGGTTACTCCTATTTTTAAAGGAGGATATAGCTTCTTATTTTGATGTAATAATATACTGGCTTTTTAAAAAGTAGCCTCCTTAACTTGTGGTGAAATTTAATTCCTTCAAAATCCTCTTTCCACGAATAATTTTACTGTGATGCAGAAGAGGTTGGTGTCTGGGAGAACTGCAGTCCTGTACACTAAAAAATAACTGCAAACAGCCAAATTTCTTCCAAAAGAGGAAACAATTTTTAAACTTTTTTTTTTTTTTTCCCCCCCTTAAAGACTGGAAACAGTTAGTTGAATTATAACAACAGGTAGAAATAAGTAAAGCAAACTCATAGCAGATGGCAAAGGCCCAGGGGCAGGCGAGCACCCATCTCCAGCGCAGAGCCCCGGTCTCAGGCTGCCCTCTAGTGAGAGCAGCCACAGTGACAAGGCCCGGCCTCCTCCAACCAGCCTTCCTTCCAAAAACCTGCCTGGTTCTTTGTTTTCACTTTAAAACAGGGCTTTTAAAACATTGCATTTTTTGGAAAACATTTTGGGATTATTATTTGCCTTCTGACTCATGTGCCACTAAGACATATTTGGATTGTTTCCAAGAGCTTTCTTGTTTTCTTCACACACAGAAAAGACAGTCATTTTCATTTGCCCTGAAGTGGTAGCTGCAGTTTGAGATGACAAGGAGCCAGGATGGTAAGGAAATAATGAACCTTCAGCTGGAAAGAACAGTTTATCATCTGGGGGGGGACAGGAGACACATCTCATCCTAATCCGTGAGTTAAAGATGAGCTGATAAAGCAGAAAAATGTACAGAAAAAATATATGAAAAAGAAACATTTGAGGGATACAGGGTACATCAAAAGATGACACTAATTAACCAACCACAGCCGTGTAAAATCAGTCAACCAAACCCATAATGCAAGAGTTCGGGCTTCCACACACAACATGTACAACCTTTCCTCTAGCAAACCTGCACCGACATGAAACAAAAACTCAGGCTACCAATATGAAATACTCTGCCTACCCGCCTGGCTGAGCAGCAATTCTCACCCTGGAAATGTGCCGCGCGCGGCGCAGCTGGGCCGAGAGGCAAAGGGACCCAGGGCTGGCGCAGGCTGGCTGCTCGCTGTTTCAGCGCAGCCGAGGGGGAACGGGGTGGAAGTTGTATCAGCAGCTTGATATTTGGGTAGAGGAAATCAGATCAGAGGGGTTTAAATGGAAATTATTTTCACCAGTACAGATGTCCCTAGGGACCAAATTCAGTTACTAGTACAGTTTTGCCAAGAGGAATAAACTATATTGATCTTGAGAGCTCAAATGCTTGCTGAGACAGTCCTTCTAGAGAATTATGGTATTTATTTCTTGTATCAGTGACAATCAGCAAAAGTGTAATAGTGATTATAGCCCAGTCACTTTTTACACACATCAGTTAACTTCGCATACTTTTCAGTTCATAATTACTTTTTAAAAAAAAAAACAAAACAAAACACTGATCTTCTCTTCTTGTGTCAAACAAATATCTTTATTTACTGTCTTTGGTCACTCTGTATCTCAAGTTTTAAGCTTTCTGCGATTGTCACTATAAAGGTCTTTCTCTAATCACTCCCAAACTCACTCAACTTTCCCCAGGACACTGCTGTACCTAGCCTGGCCTGCACACCTTTTCCCCATCACTGTAATTCAACAGCACCTACAGATACAGCAATATGGCCCCCTAGTGCACACAGTTAGATTGCATCAATGTTGGGGTTTCCTGTAAATTTTATTATTATTTTTAGACAGCAATAAATCCATACATAAATTTAATAGAATAAGAAATGTCAATGTTGGCACCTGTAACTTATTATTAATACTATATATTAAGGATTTATATCACTATAAACCTATTCCAAGGTGATTTACTTGAAGTAAAGAGCTTCAGAATTCTAAGACACTAAAACAGGCGGAGTGAGTGATGCTGCACATTTGGAAACATGCACTGTAATTATTTTGTTTGCATATTTCCACTGCATTTTATATTCACATCTTGCCCATCTCTCCTCCCTTCCCTAAGCCTTCTCTTTCTTTTCTACAAACTGTCTTTGCCTATTCTCTGGTTTCTCAGTTTCTTCACCTGCTCTTTTTCATGTTTATTTGATGGGAGTCTCAACTCCTGATGCAGAGCCTTCTTGCTGGGACACACAGTAACGCACTGATCTCGCTCCCTCAGACATTACATCTGAAGATAAATTGGGAAATGAAGATGTAGAGTTGTTGGAAAAGATTGGCTTCCCCAGGCACCAGTTTAGCCTGGATCATTGGATTTACAACACCAGCACCGCCAACACTGATTTGACTATTAATCCCTGAAGTGCCCTAGGAATTGCAGCATAAATCCAGTGAAGGAGCACTCATATGGCCCTGAAGACCCATAGCACTTATCCTGGTACTCCATTCATGAAAATTGATCTTTTCTTAGTAGCAATGACAACTCAAGGAGTCCACGCTTTGTAAAACCAAGAGATCTGCTTGCTGTGGCAATGTACTTAACTGCCAGGAGGTCTGTGATACAAACCAACCGGTGCTCACACTTAATACTCTGCGGAGACCAGCCCTTTCTTCTTTACACACCTACAGAGAGATCTACAATTTCACTCTCTGTTAGGGATCACTTTAGTGCCTTTGTGCTCCACAGCAGCACTCAACAAAATCATCGTGTTTCTTATACCCTGCCTCAGTAACTCGCTCCCTAAGTATCCTTTGCCAAGCAGAGCTTAATTATCTGCTAAGCCAATATCCCTTCCATGACAAGAATACAAACTTCTTCTGTATTTGGAGAGCCATCATATCTGAGCAGAGGGCAGGGTGAGTTGGGACTAGGCTGGCAAGGAAAATGAACTGGCTGCTTTGGTTTCAAGGCACCTCCATGCTGTACAGCGAGTGTGACTTTGTCCTATCCCAGGAGGAAGAGGTAGCGATGTATCAGAAGGGGTGAACCCCACAGCGAGTGGCATTTTCCTGATTTTTTGACCTTGATTGCTAGAAACACAGGGACAGATTTTCAAGGAAGATCTCATGTCACTGGGTGCACAAGTACAGGTATTTGTGGCATTTGGCACATTGTTAGCTCCTGGGAACAGCTGAACGGGGGGCATGCAAAAGCCAGGGACCTGCAATGGCAGTGAAGGCTATGGCTGGGGAGGCCTTGAAGGACAGGCTGGGACTAGGAAAAAGCCTCTCTCCTACCAAGAGAAGTGGGATGGGAAGAACTTCAGTGGGCAGCAGAGAGGGCCTGTGCCAGGCAGCAGCCTGGTGAGCTCGGGCAGCGGCTGGCTCCAGCACATTATTTGTAAATCCTGGGTGGGGAAGATCTGCAGAACAAATGAAGCAACAAAAGGTGGAAGGTGAGGGGGCTGCAGGACGGAAAGGTGGAAATGGATGTCCCAGCATCTCTGGTGGGAGCAACTGCAGGATGAGGGAGAAGTAAGGGTTGACGTGTCCAGGCTGCCCGTTACAATGCATGTCCAGACTCTGAAGTGGTGCTGTTACTATGGGAGGGACGCTAACAAATCAATACTCAAACAATACACTTGTCTGATCCAAGTATACTTGACCATACTGAGGTGGGGAACGACTAGAGAAAATGAGGTGGCCTGTCTTACAGAAGATCGACAGGACATTCTTTAAAAGAAATTTCCCTATAATAGTAACTGAAATACCTGGTGCCCAACTTACTCTTCCAAATCAGAGAATTTGTTAGTATAAAGGTGACAAATAACAGCCAGGTTTCATTTTGTAAGACTGTTTTGTTGGCTAACGTTAATTTTGCATCATGATCTCTGCTGAAATAAACCTGTGATTTGCATAATAATAGTATCACAGTTGTTCAGACACCTCACAGAAGCTAGCAGTATTAAATGGTCCCTATCTAGCTTAATCTAAATGGATAATCTAGCCATCTACCCTGGCCACACCTTCCCCCTTTGTAGAACCTCATGGTTGGGATAAGCAATGCCACTTCCTTGTTTTATGTTCTTTGCATTTTGCTCTTAGCAATGGCTTCCCTCTAAACCGGAGTCCAGCACAGTCCGTGATTTATGGGGACACTGAGTTCTTTGGGACCCCAGTGCCAGCCATGCTTGGCAATAACCCAGAAATGCTGGTATACATAGGGAGGCTCCTTTGCCTGGGCCACACAGGGTTACCTCTAGCAGTGCAGCCTCTGAAATTTGAGGTTAATGCTGGGATTTACCATTCTAACCAGCAGCGGGATAGATGGTAACAAGATGGCTTTTCTTTTGCTATGCCGAGTAGTATCAGCTCCCTATATAAGCTTTTTAGCAAGTAGAATCTAACAACTGTCCCCTGTTTTTTCGGCTCCTGTTTGCTGAAAATATTTTGACACCCCCTTCCCCTTTGTCCATTACGATTTTGTCGTGCAGACGTCGGGCACGGCCGAGGGGAGCGGGCTGGGCTGCCGACAGCTGCCTGCTGCACCCACAGCCCACGGGGGAGCCACGCTGGGCTGCTGAACACGCGACTCGTGCCCAGGTTAGGTCTGAGTGGGCTTCTTTAAGCCCGAGCCGCCATTCCGCTTTGGCACCTCCGGGGGTCCCGCGCGCTCCAAACGCCCCGCGAACTGCCGCGGGATAATTTTTAGCACCTGATAATTACAGAAAAACAAGGGTTTGCCGTTCGTTGCCCGGAGCGCCGCCCCCGCCCCGCCCCGCCCCGCTCGGCCGCTGGCTCCGCCCCCGCGCTCGTCAGCGCCCCGCGCCGGAAGCGCCGCCGGCCGCCGCCATGGAGGGTGAGCTCCGGGGGGGGGGGGGGGTGTCGGCAAGCGGGGTCCCGGGGCGGGGAGGAGGGGCGCGAACGGAGCCCCGCCTGACGCCCCGCTCCGCCGTGCCTTGCAGGGCAGCTGTACCGCCGCCTGCCGCCGGAGGAGACGGGGGAGCTGCGGCTCCAGGTACCGCCGCCCGCCCGAGCAGCCCCGGCCCTCGCCCGCAGCGCCCGCCCCGGGAGCCTCGGCGGCGGGAGTCGCTCGGCGATTTCAACTCTCTTCGCCCTCCTAAACCCCCTGCTCGGCACTGAGGGGGAGGGGTTGGTCTGTGCCCGCGGGCAGCGGCGCCCGTTTCCCTAGCACGCTCCGTCGGGCTTCAGCGGTTGAAGGCGCCGCTTCAACCGAAATGCAGAAATTTGGCATTTCCTCCCCAACAGACACGTTAGTTAAACTGACGCGAGAAAGCCGCGGGCTGCCCTACGCTCCCACTCCGCACTGCCTGCGCGGGGCCTCCGCCGGCGAACATTTCCCTTTTACTGTTATGGATGTGTAGATCTCCCATCCCTATGGTGATTGTGAGCCTGATAAAACTACTAGTCAGCAGCAAGCTCTCAATTTAATTAAAATTTTATATTTTTATATCAAAATATGTAAATTTACATGTAGATACATTTATATATAGAAGTGTGTAAATTTATATAAGTATCTTTCAAAAATATCCTTAGCCTCAGGGATCAGAAGAGGCCAAAGCATTTGTAAATGCCTTCCTGAAGCGTAGCATGCCAAAAAAGAAAGATGAAGCTATCCAGGATATATTAACTCGGAAAGCTGTAGTGCTTGAGCATTATTCCAAAAAGAAGACAAAGCAAAAGAGAAAGAAAACAAAAGGGTTTACTGCCAAACAAAGGCGAGAAATGCGTCTTTTTGAAATAGAACCTGAACAGCAAAGGTAAGATCTTAAGTATTTTTTTTTGTATAGCAAAAGTGGGAAGTCCATCAAAACTAAGTAAAAGTGACAGCACATGCACGTGGATACCAACCCTTCAGTATGCAAAGTCAGCCTGAGACTCTGTGGCATTTCACCATGAGAAAACCATTCTCTTGTCTATATAGTTGGAAAACGTATTTCTCTTTCTTACTGGTTCTCTTTTGTTGTTATATTTAAGTATACAATAGGAATCAAACCCAAACACAATCACATCTGATTTAAGTCTTTCAAGTTAGACTGCCTGTAACCAGAGAGTCAAAAATCTGCATCGGGTTCCTCAAACTAACAAGTGTAAAGTAAAGCCCCTGATGTTGCTAAAGTGAACTAAGTGGGGAGGTAAAGAGTAGAAATTTCTTCAGTCTTAGATGTAGCCCAACCCTCTAAAACACATCCCCATTTTGTGTTGACAGATGAGCGTACTTTGTGCTGGCTTTAATAAAGCAAACCTGTTGCTTGAAGTGGATTACCTCACAGATTATGAGAGCAGATTAAAAAACTTATAAATGTCAGTTTTAACTCTGCTGTAAATAATGGATTCAGTAATCAACTGATAGATTTTTTTTTTTTTTTTTTTTATAATTAAGTTCTTGTAGACTACTTTTTGTCAGTTTATTGCAGATACTCCATCTTTCTACCACTACATGAACTCTGGAAACAATATATCAGAGACCTATGTCATGGACTTAAACCAGATGCGTAAGTTGAGATATTTTTAAATGGGTGTGGCTTTGATTTAGTAGACATTTCCAGGTTTACTGAGTTACTGCTTGAAACAGTTATGTGATAAGGGTATGTATTATTTCTGTAATCTTTGACCATGTTTTCAGTCATCAGTCATGTTTTGTAAACCTAACTTTTTCCATATAATTTTCTTTCCCTCTTCTCTAACCCCACCTTCTTCAAGGCAACCACATATGGTTCAGGGCAAACTGCTAAAAGCAGATCTCCATGGAGCTATTGTTACAGGTACCCTGTTCATTTTCTTTTACAAAATCATCTGAAGCTAGGTAGACACTCCTATATTCCAGTTGCTTATTTTTAAATTCCTTTCAGTATCATTAACTCTAGAATCATACTTGAGATATATTGATGGATTCTCTCTCTACCTACAAATGCTAATTACTTTTCAACTGCTCCTGAAATTCATGATGTTAGTTGCACAGATTATCTGCAAGTTTTACCTATTATTACGGTCATTGGTTTGCAATATTCTTAAATAATGCAGTCTTTAAAATCATGAGGCAACTGTAGAAGAGCAAATAAACTTCCTGCATCTGAAATTTTCTAATACATACATACTTCTTTCAGTCACAAAATCTAAGTGCCCCTCTTACGTTGGGATAACAGGAATCATTCTACAGGAATTTAAGCATATATTCAAAATTATCACTAAAGAGGACAAGTTAAAAGGTATGTTTCTCAACTTGAATAGTCAGAAATTTATTAAACACTATTCATCTTACAGCCGAGTACGCTGTTTTCTATGAGTGCTTTTAGTTCTTTGCGTAATGGCAGAAATCAATGTCTTTACTGACCATGTAACAACCCAACATCTTACCAAAAGTATCTCAGAAATGAGCAATTAAAAAAAATACTTTACAATGAACCCAACATGATTATGCACATGGCTCATTCATCTGATTCACATTAGATATTCTCTGCAACACTTGCTGCATGCTCCTGAAAGAGGACTAACTGTAGTAATTCCAGTTTAAAATTTAGAGGTTTTGGTCATTTTTCTTCTATTGCTAAAGCAGTAAAACCTTGAAATGTGGCAAACCTCAAGTCTACATGTGTGTACATCAGTATATTTTCATAACAGGGATTTACATACTAGTCCACTTCTGTTAATTTCTTTCCTTTTGCATTTTCAGTTGTTCCCAAACTAAATAATGTCTTTAGATTGGAGATTGATGGATTCATTTCCTACATATATGGAAGCAAGTTCCAGCTTAGAGCAAGTGAGCGCTCTGCAAAAAAATTCAAGTTGAAAGGAACTATTGACCTATGATTTCATGGAAAATCTGAAGTATTAATAAAAATGTCTGCTGTTTTCCTGCAGTTTAAAGACAAGGTTTTCTGGCAGATTGAAAATGGAATAGCTATGTGAAATATTTCTAAAGCATTTGTTACTGAAGAATGACTAGTATTTGTTGTCTTTAAAGCAGTGTCTCAGACTGTTGGAGTTTGTATCCGTTTTGTTATTGGTGTATAACATTCTGGCTTTTATTAAACTTACAATTAGTATTGATTACCTGAATCCTGTTTAAATTTATAATTTAAATCAGGGAACACAACACAGGGGGAAACCCTTGAAGCTAGAAAATCAAAGATGGAAGTGGCCCCCATTCAATTACCCACAATATTGCTTCATGAATATTTAACCTCTATTTCTAGAGCTTTAATCTAGCCTTTTAATTATATTTATTAACAACAATTTAAAAAATTTAATATATTTACACATGGTGTCTGTGTTACACATTTAAAAATACCTTTATTTTTATTAATACATGTGATACATACAATTTTTAAAAAGCCTAGTGTGGATGGCAATTTATATCTCTTGTTTGTGAGCACTACATCACTGAAACATAAGAAGTCAGGTAGTTTCATAGTGTAAGTCTTCTAAACTCACCAACCACCCTTAATAAAGCACCACTTAAGAAGCTTCTAGTGTTTAAACCTTTTATGAGTATTTGCTTTTTGCAGCAGTCTGCAACAGTGGCTGTAATGGAGAGCCCATACTTGTACCAGTGGATTCTTGTTCAGCTTTGAGTACAGGTGCTTCATGTATCCTCAGCCACTTACGGGTTTTTTTTTACTATATACTTCCAGGATCCTTTTTTGATTGCCCAGATTACAATCTCTCGTTGACTAGACAGGTATGACTTGTTTGGGATGTGGAATTGACCCCTGTATTTACATCACTTAACATTTTCCTGTTATAAAAGAGCCTCTATGGTGTTTGGTAAAAGTAGCTTTCAATTTATATTATGAAGTCCATTTCAGATCAAATCAAAGACCTGTATCTAGGAAGGAGTTTTTCCTTGCCACCATTCAAGCATTTGTAGCCAACCAGGTTCATGTCTTTAAAGAGAACATAGCTATTCCTCACCTGTACTACACACCAAAGCCTAGTACAGGGGTTAGGAGGACAGCTTCGGTTAGAGCTGTTAACTGCACTGCAGGGCACACAAGCCATTTATCTGCCATGAGAAAGCCAAAGATCATCACCACCTCCAATCGTCCTCAGTCCTATGAAAACACTAACTGCTAGCCAGCTTCCAGAGCTTCTACTTCCCTTCTGGAACCTGGTGCTGGGTGATGTTACGGGAGAGCTGCATCTTCCCAGCACAATCCCTCAGATGCAGACCAGATTCAGCATCACTGAACCAGACCAATCAGTAGAAATCACAGCATGGACAACACTGGTTTTCAGGAACAGTCTGCTCCTCTGCCCTCTTTTAAGTCGGGGTATAACATACTTGGTATGGAAACAAATCTTTGTTGCAATTATATGAAGTACTGCCCTTGACAGGGGGAAAACACTTTTTGCTAGAGATGTATATTTTCTACAGGGAAATACATTTCACACCAATAGGAAATAGGAGAAAGAAACACTGGGAAAGCTTTTGAAAATGCAGATAAACACACTTGAAAGTACAAAAAAAAGAGTAGAAGCATTTTTCAATTAATTTGTATCTGTTAAGTAAGAACAAGATGTGTTAAAGTTGTCAGACCCAAATTATTGTTCTACCTAGTGCCCATTACTCCTCTCAACATTCTCTGAAACTAAATCCCTTGGTTTCCTGTGAGAGGTCAGAATAAAACCCAGAGTGGTATAAAGCATGAATCATAGCAGAAACTTTCCTTTCAGGACAATGACCTCATTTTCATTTTGCTCATAGCCTTCAGTGTAACATCTAATTAAGACATCTGTTAAATGTCTATAATATTAAATTAATAGGGGGAAGCTAATAGAACTTTATTGGCATAGTTCAGTTAATTAACATTACGGGCTTTTAATGGATGTCTTAAATAGACATCATTAATGGGAATGCCATACAAATTGGAATTAGGCACAATCATGTTTCATTGTGCTGTGAAGGACATACCATATTCATACACAAACATGATACAACTTCCCATAGCTACTGGCATTTCCATTTTTTAGACTTTCAGCAACCAAAAAAGACAAGCGCTGCCTAACAGTCCCTTTCGATAAATAATAGGAGGTCATTCATTATTTACAGGGAAGAGTGCTGAAGAGATGTTCAAAGGTCTCCTCAAGGTAATCACATGCTAATAGCACATAAAGACAGATGACAAATTAAGAATAACAAGAGAGCTGAACAGCCAACACATTTGGGACGCCTTTAGTGCAGTTGGCAAATCACCTGAAGAGGCCTTTTTGTAATGACTCAGTGAGGTGTTCTAAACAGCCCTCATAAATCACTTAAGCTAAATCATTCCTGCAGACCTCTGGTATCACCATCTACCCATCAGCTCCTTGAACCAAGCCCATGTCCCATCTACTTTCTCCAGAACATGACTCTGTTCATCTTTGACTAGAACACATTGAACTCCCCATTGCTTGTGAAGGAACTTCCTTTGAAACTGAGTAACATGAAAATGACTGCTCACCAGTCCTCCCCTGCTGATTCATGACCATTCCCCATCTCTTCATTAGCTGAGACAGTGAATACTTAATGGATTTAATACTAGAAAACTGGAGAACTAATCACAGTTATTTCTAATATGCCTCTTCCTTTGTATGTTCAACTCTGAATTGCACACAGCAGAGGCACGTTTCTCATTATGATTTGTATGCCTAAATTCTCACTAAAGAAAAGGCTAGCCAGGGAATAATGAACAACAATGAACAATATACTGTCTCACTATGTCACACGGAATTCTGCTTTCCTATTAGTATGCATATATAATACGTTTATAACCAATCTGAACTGAAACAATTGTGAACAATCCAGTTACTGAATTTTGAACATTTAAGAAAGAATGGGAAAGCAAACAGAAACCCCCCCATAATTTCTGTTTGGAACCTCAAAATAATTAATTGTAGAAAATGCTTGAAATTAAAGCCAAGTCACATCTGAGAAACTACACAGAATTTTCTATTTGAGGGTTTTTTATACTTCCTCTAAATTATACAGCAATACAATGAAAAGCCCCCAAAACCTCCTGATACTCTCCTTGGGAAACAAATCATCGAAATCACAGCAGCACATAGCTGATGTTAACTCTATATAGTCAAGCCACACAATGTTTTAGAGAAGCATGAGAACATAAAATTCTGATCTGGACCAGAGCCCTTTTTAATGGATTCTCAAGCCTCTGACAAGTTCGCCTCTCCAGCAGACTCTCTGTCCGTTTGAGTATTTTAGATTTGGGACGACTTGTGTCAATGCAAGAGGTTAGAAGTAGTTTCTAAGCCTCTTACAACCTTTGACCAAGCAACTCTTGTTAAACAAACCCTAAAAATATTTGGAACAGTAACACATAGTCCTTTATACATAGCTTCATTTTGCAAAGGAGGAGTCCTGGCAAGGGCGGGTAGTATTTTTTACTAGAACAATGCCCCTATTAAATTGGAAAAGGACAGGATATGGCTATGCCAGGCTCATATGATCTGGAAAAGGAAGCTTTTTGTTCTGAGGTGCATACATAAAACCTAGGCAAACCTGGCTTAGCTATTTTCACCGTAATTTGCAAATCGTAAGTTTAGAAACCTTGACTGGAAACATTGCCAGTGTTTTCTAATAGAAAGAAACTTAAAAATGACGTGGGGGGAGAAAAGAGTACAGAAGAAAAGACAGAGTAAGCTGAGTTCAGACTTAATAACAAAGGGAAGAAGAATCAGTTTAGTAGGAGAAACAAATCCTGCAAAGGAAAGCTATAGTTATTCATTAGCATGACACTGGTAACTCCAGGCACTGTCTGCAGGCTTCCACTTTTTTAGGGAAAAAGATACTCCAATTTTGCTACAAACTGCACGTGTCACACACTAGCCAAATAGAGGCTATTGGTCCTTTTCCACATCAGCACTTTTTCTTTACTTCGGGTATTTATAAAGCTTTTATAAGAGACCACCTTTAACATGCTTCAAATAAATATAAAGCAATCATCAAGAAGTGAACAAAAGCCACAGCATACCTTCTAAAAATTACAAAAAAATTTCACTTTCCAAGGAAAACTGTGTTCTTGGTCATTCAGCAGCATGACTAAGAAATGCTGAGCTTGCAAGAGTGCTTACAGCAGCCCAGTCCTACCCCCTGCTGTGTATCTCTTAGTGTCTATGTGCCAAAGAACCAGCACACCACAGAGCCACTAACAGGTTTGCCATCAAACTGCTTACATCTTTGCTTATAACTTCTTTCTTAAGTAGAATCCTTTGCCTCATGTAACCAGAGCAATTCACTTATTTTTTCTACACCACCTTCTATTTCTTTTAAAATTCACTTAAAAACACAGTTGTGGTATCAGGCAGGACCCACTGTACTGCATTAGTCCTAAAACACCATCTTGTTCCTCTTCAATCAGCAGCATGCTTTCAGGTACCAGGAGCACTGTCTTCTCAAAACCAGGGCAGCACTGCTTTTATCTAAACAGGGCAATTCATCAGCCCCTTACCAGAGCAGTTACACGTGCCCACTGCCCAGTTACAAGTCCCAAGAACATACACAGACAGGTTTTCTAACTGACAAAAAGCCCTGGCCACCTTATAATTCCTGCTGCAGTCACCGACACCTTCACACTGAAGACCACTGGATAGCCAGTTCCTAGTTCCTGCTGTTCATAGTCCTTCCTCAACACATAAAACAACATCCTTATTTAATCTCCCTTTTCCCTCACAGTGACCTTACCATAGGTGATGCAAGTACAAGGCTTCAGTAATCCACAAACTCTCCTGTCTGACTCCAACAGCCCCATCTTCTGCAGCCTACACACCACAGGAGATCTGAGCAGCGTCAGCAAGTTTGCAGCTCCTTAACAGCCAGTACCAGCTATATCAGGCCAGTCTCCTGCACCATCACAGCTGAGGCAAATGTCCAACTGGCCTCTTTAGCAACACCAAAACTCCAAACAAGATTTCTTGATATGGGAAACACCTGAGTACTTTGACAAACTACCCCTTGTCAGCTGTGGCTCTTATCCCAGCTGTCCTACATTTTTGCACCCAAGGTGAGCTCGTTAGTATGCAGGGCCTCCTTGATGAGTAAAACACATTAGTTG